TACAGGACAAGATGCTCTGGAGATTTGTGGATTTAAGGCCCTACAAGGTACCAGCCCAGCTGTGTCCCTGCAGCGTGTCTCCCACTCGAGACCACTCCAAGGGGCTGATAAATGCTGTCCCGGGGAAGGGGCAGAGGGGCCTATGGGGACCAGACGCCTGCATCTGGGATTCCACATGAGCTGGTGAATGAGAGAAGAGAAGGAAGAGAAGAGGCACAGTGAGGCTATCCCAGGGGCAGATCTTGCACATATGGGGCATTGGGGGAGGGAGCTGCGTATGGGAGGCTAGTGTTACATGGGCAGCGAGGCCATGAGATCAGCTGGACCAGTTTCTGAAGAGCATTTAAAACCAGGAGGGTTGTTTTAAGCAGCTCCCTGGAGCCAGGGATGGTGTCTGAGGACAGAGACTGTGTATGTGGAGGAGAAGGCAGCCGCAGCATCTGACACGTGCTGGAGTGTGGAGAGCAGAGACTGAGGTTGCTCATAGGGAAAGGAGCTGCAGCGGTCAGGGTAAGAGGAGATCTACTGCAGGGTCGTGGCTGTGGCTTATCCTACGGGTGTGGAGTAACTTCCTTAAAGATGAATGGGAAAGAGGTATATGAAGAAGAGCGGGGATGGGCCTTTCCTTGCTCATTTACTGCTTCTGTTGGGTTTGTTGCGTGTCTTGTCAAGGTGCTAAGTGCTTTGTTGCTTGCTCTCTTGTGCTCAGCTCAGCTCCAGGATCCTGTGGCACCTGCTAAGGCAGTACCTGCGCAATAGCCTGAGGGTACTGAAAGTGAGAGGAGCTCTCTACTCTATGAGAAAGCATGAGTTCCTTTCCCCAGCGCTGCTGCAGGCACTCGGGAAGCAGTGTCCCAGCCTCTATCATCTGTGCCTGACCCAGGCTGACCTCCGTCGGCTCCCATATGACTGTATACCGTCTTCTCTAAAGAGCATGAAGCTGAGCCAGTGTGAGATCCCAGTTGTGTGGTTCCAAAAATCTGCATCTCCAGAGACTCCCAGAGTCCTGCCACAACTGCAGCATCTCATGATCCATAACGTCTCTGCCTTTTCTGATCAGCATCTGCTTAACATATCATCTCAGACCAGCCTAAGGACACTGACCCTCTCTGGAACCTACCGGCTGACGGACACTGGAATTCAGAGAGCAGCCCCATATCTGGAGGACCTGGAATGCTTGGTCCTGCGCAAATGTGTCATTACAGATGCTGCTGTTCACTTCATCGGGCGTCACATGAAACAGCTCCGCTCTTTGGAATTCAGCAATACTTGTTCCCTAACAGATGCAGGCCTGGCTTGTTTAGCAGCCTTGAAGTGCTTGGAAACCCTCCACCTCGAGTCCAGGTTTAAGCTTTCCCCCGATGCCATTGTTGCTGTGTGCCAGGCACTCCCCCAGTTAAGGAATCTCAATTTAGATGGGATTGACTTTGAAGACCAGACAATACATAAAATTCAGGCAAGTTTGCCCAACTGCCGTTTCTAATGTGCTCCCTGACACACGTTCTGAGGCGAAATGTTAACAGTGGGGAGTTGTATGGAACACATGAGGGTGAGCTGTGGGGTGTTCACCCCGCTGAAATAACTCCCAGAATTGCTTCTTCTGGACAGGGTTGTACTCCCAGTGTCAGTTGCATTTATCGGGAGGCAGAATTTTCTCTGGCTAAAACAATGAGGTGAGCAGTGTATGGACAAGGACATCCTGACTGCTTGTATCACCTGAAAACAGGCCAGCAGAAATTCAGTTCTGCAGTCTGCTTGGCTGGGCTCCTGAAGTGACCTCTCACCTTCTCCTACTAAGAAAAGAGCAAGGCCCGGTGAATAGGTGGCATATGAGGACCAGTGACCCTGTGAGCTTATTTAAATTAGAAGCAGTTTGGCAGCAGGGGGTTTCTCTTTTAAGTTTAACCCCGTCTCACATTAAACATCAGGCAACAGGTGAATTATCCCCAAGCACAAGGGAATAAGTCAGCTGTCGTCCTGACGCACAGAAGGGTTTGGCTACCCAAAGGACTCTAGATAAAATTTAACTCAGGTCAAAAGGCATTAGCCACATTGCTGTGCTATGAGCATACTCCAAAACATGCTTAGTAGGAAGTGGACAAAGGATTGTGCAAACACACATTTTAATTGCAGGGAACAGAACCTTTAAGGGGAAAGAACCCATCATGTCCATTTCACAAACACAGACACCACACAGGTCGGTGCATGTGCGGCTTGTGTTCTGTCCCGCAGGGTGGAGTGGTGGGGGTTCTGCTGCGACCCCAAGGATATGTGGAATGTGGGGGAGGGGGAAGTATAAGGAAGTCCCAGAATGCATTTGTCTGTGTGCTGCAGGGGGAGGCAAGCACACACCTGTTCAGCCTGAAGTTCAGTCAGAGATCACAGCATGTCTGTTTGCTCCTTGAGCAGCACCATCATCTCTGCCTGTCCATTTTTCCTGTCCTTGCTATCGCTCTGCATTCTGTCCTTGAGCGTCACCCTCCAAGCCTGGAATCTGACACAGCAGAACCTTACAGGACCTCCTGCAACATGTCTTCCCATGTCCTCTTCTTTCTCCTGCTTATCTGGCCCAGCTGCTCTTTCAGGGTGGATGGAGAGACTGTCAAGGCCACGCTTGCAGCGGCAAAAGAAACAGTGGACAGAGGTACTATTGTGAATGCATTCACGGCCCCACAAGTTACAAGCACAACATTCTCCCTTCTCCTTGGGATTCATAGAGCTGGGCAGCAGTCCTAGGCATGATGAGTACATCCTGGAGGGCGGAGCGAGTTGGGTCAATAACTTGGGGTAGCTCACAGGCATCAGTATAAGCAGATGGGGCAGTTGAGCTGAATACTGTCACCGTTTCCCACAGGCAATGGAGACTTTAGCGTATATCTTGCTCCTGAGGGTAACGGAGGCAGAAAGGAAACGGCCCTTCTCCACCTTGTCCCAAGCCATCTGTCTGTAGATATCTACATTTCTATGGCTGGATTGGAGCTGTGCCGGCACAGCTTCTCCCCAGAGACCCAGGAGATCCACCACCTCCTGTGTACTCAAGTCAGGAGTGTGTTTGGTGCGTGGAACCAGCATGGTCAATTGGGCAGATGCTAGGTGAGCTCTCCATGCTGAGCACACAGGAAATGAATTTAAAAGGTATGTGGTGAGTACCTGGCCACCGGACAGTGGAGTTCAAAACAGTGACTAGAGCGGTAGTGGTGTGGCATTGTGGGACACCTCCTGGAGGCCATTAAAGTTGATGTAATTAACACAGTGTCTACACTGACACTGCATCGTCATAACTATGTTGACTTAAGTGCTACGCCTCTTGTGGAGGTGGAATTCTTAAGTTCACGTAGCGGGTGATTTACTTTGTCAGGAGCATCATTATAGGGTAGATGCTGACCAAATAAGATTGACGTAAGCCACCTTGCGTTGACCTAACTGTAGCATAGACCAGACCCAAATGTATGCGAATAACTAGAGCATAGATCTCAGGTATTATATTTGAGTGATATTAGCAGGCTGCCATCAGCCAGATCCTGCACCTGGTTTGTTGGGTTACATTGCTTTGCATGGCTGCTTGTGCCTTCTATTGTTTAAATACTCCCTCATCTTTACCTGCTGTTACAAAGCCCTGAGTTTGTGTTAGCAAGTTTTGGCTGACATTAAAATGGTAGCTGTTATGAAGTTTCCATTCTAGGACACACTGAGGTTTTGAATCTGCTGAGTTGTTATCTGTAATCAAATGTAAAATTTATTTATAAAATAAACATGCTTTTAGATCTGTAAAGTCGTCTCATGCTGTCAGGTTTTGACTGAAATGTGGCAATAGTCGACTTGTGGTTTTTAACAGATCAGTGATACTGCTTGTGTTGTATGGAGAGACCCACCTCTTCCCCCTTTACCTGGAGCCTCACCCTTTTCTCCCCCTTCCCTGGGGCCCTGCTCCTGTTCTACCTAGTGTCCCCCCATTCCCCCCCCCCCCCCCCCCCCCCCCACCCCGTTCCCCCCTCCCCCCCCCCCCCCCCCCCCCCCCCCCCTGCCCCCCACCCGAAAGAGGCTCTCTCCCTTTCCCCCCCCCCCCCCCCCCCACCAGGGCCCCAGGCCACAGCAAGGAGTGAGAGCTCCCCCAGCCCTGAGGCTGCGGCAGGTAACAAGAGCTCCTCCAGTTCTGGGGCCACAGCGGGGGTCCCAGTGCAAGGGCTTCCCCTTTCCCCCTCCCCCCAGCTTCCCCTGCCGTGCCCACCCAGTGCTGCTGCCAGGGAGCGGGGTCAGGGCGTAGGGTCTCTAGGGCCCCCCAGCTGGCCGGGGCCCCTGAGTACAGGCCCCATAGGCCCAGTGGCTAATCCGCCACTGCCCCTTTTCTAGACTGAAAGCATCTTGTCTAATAGGCGTTATCCAGGTGTAACTACATTTGAAATACAGCTACATAGTCAATATTCACAATTTCAGATACAAAATCACATCATGTCAACACCCACCACGGGCCTTCGCGATGCTTTCTTTTAATTAAACAGTCAGATTCTCCTGATCCGCACCAGTTCTAAGTCAGCTGCTAGGCACCGGCCAAGGCGGAACACCGCCCCCCCCCATCCCCGTGGAGGGGGAGAGGCGAGCGACACCCGCCACAGCTGGGGCGATCCACAGGAAGGGCCCAGCTTGCGTCCAGAGTTGCACCCAGCCCCACTTCGCGCCCCAGCCCTTAGAGCCAATTCTTATCCCGAAGTTACGATCCGGCTTGCCGACTTCCCTTACCTACATTGTTCTAACGTGCCAGAGACTGTTCACCTTGAGACCTGCTGCAGATATGGGTACGGCCTGGTGTGAGATTTACACCACCTCCCCCGGATTTTCAAGGGCCAGTGAGAGCTCACCGGACGCCGCTGGAACCGTGACGCTTTCCAGGGCTCGAGCCCCTCTCTCGGGGTGAGCCCATTCCAGGGTGCCCTGCTCTTCACAAAGAAAAGAGAACTCTCCCTGGGGCTCCTGCCGGCTTCTCCAGGATCGGTTGTGTTACCGCACTGGACGCCTCGCGGCACCTATCTCTGCCACTCTGGATTTGGGGATCTGAACCCGACTCCCTTTTGATCGGCTGAGGGCAACGGAGGCCATTGCCCGTCCCTTCGGAATGGCACTCGCCTATCTCTTAGGACCAACTGACCCCGTTCAACTGCTGTTCACATGGAACCCTTCTCCACTTTGGCCTTCAAAGTTCTCGTTTGAATATTTGCTACTACCACCAAGATCTACACCTGCGGCGGCTCCACTCGGGACCATGTCCTAGGCTTCAAGGCGCACCACAGCGGCCCTCCTACTCGTCGTGGCGTAGCTCCCGCAGCTCTCATTGCTGGCGACGGCCGGGTATGGGCCCGACGCTCCAGCGCCATCCGTTTTCAGGGCTAGTTGATTCGGCAGGTGAGTTGTCACACACTCCTTAGCGGATTCCAACTTCCATGGCCGCCATCCTGTTGTCTATAACAACCAACACCTTTTCTGGGGTCTGAGAGCACTAAGTTGTCATGGGATAAGAGGGAAGATCCTTTCATGGATTGAGAACTGGTTAAAAGACAGGGAACAAAGGGTAGGAATAAATGGTAAATTTTCAGAATGGAGAGGAGTAACTAGTGGTGTTCCCCAAGGGTCAGTCCTAGGACCGATCCTATTCAACTTATTCATAAATGATCTGGAGAAAGGGGTAAAAAGTGAGGTGACAAAGTTTGCAGATGATACTAAACGGCTCAAGACAGTTAAGACCAAAGCAGACTATGAAGAACTTCAAAAAGATCTCACAAAACTAAGTGATTGGGCAACAAAATGGCAAATGAAATTTAATGTGGATAAATATAAAGTAATGCACATTAGAAAAAATAACCCCAACTATACATACAATATGATGGGGGCTAATTTAGCTACAACTAATCAGGAAAGAGATCTTGGAGTCATCGTGAATAGTTCTCTGAAGACGTCCATGCAGTGTGCAGCGGCAGTCAAAAAAGCAAACAGGATGTTAGGAATCATTCAAAAAGGGATAGAGAATAAGACGTAGAATACCTTATTGCCCTTATATAAATCCATGGTACGCCCACAACTTGAATACTGCGTACAGATGTGGTCTCCTCATCTCAAAAAAGATATACTGGCATTAGAAAAGATTCAGAGAAGGGTAACTAAATGATTAGGGGTTTGGAACGGGTCCCATATGAGGAGAGATTAAAGAGGCTAGGACTTTTCAGCTTGGAAAAGAGGAGACTAAGGGGGGATATGATAGAGGTCTATAAAATCATGAGTGATGTGGAGAAAGTGAATAAGGAGAAGTTACTTACTTGTTCCCATAATATAAGAACTAGGGGCCACCAAATGAAATTAATGGGCAGCAGGTTTAAAACAAATAAAAAGAAGTTCTTCACACAGCGCACAGTCAACCTGTGGAACTCCTTGCCTGAGGAGGTTGTGAAGGCTAGGACTATAACAGGGTTTAAAAGAGAACTAGATAAATTCATGGAGGTTAAGTCCATTAATGGCTATTAGCCAGGATGGGTAAGGAATGGTGTCCCTAGCCTCTGTGTGTCAGAGGGTGGAGATGGATGGCAGGAGAGAGATCACTTGATCATTACCTGTTAGGTTCACTCCCTCTGGGACACCTGGCATTGGCCACTGTCAGTAGACAGGATACTGGGCTGGATGGACCTTTGCTCTGACCCAGTATGGCCGTTCTTATGTTCTTATGGCTAACTTCTCAGTTAAGCCTCCCATTGCAGGCCTGTGTTTTTATATAAACAACAAATTTGTCTAATCTGCTGTTTTCCTCCTTTCCAGGTATAGGGTTGTGCAAGAAGCTTTCAGATCAAACAACAAACCTGGAAGGCACTGAACCCGTGTGGTGAAATCTACTGTGCATCTTGGCAACAACTGCCCTGTTTGCCCTGGGCTGACATTGTGTCTTTGTGGTCATACAAAAGTAAGACCAGTGCAAAATTCAGGGAAATAAACAGTGGTGAGAGCCCCAGCCTTGCATTGGGAATGGTTTCAGGCCTGTTTGTTTAATACCTACTGTGACCCCTTGGTGCCAACTGGCAGAGGGCACAGAGGGGGTGCATAGGATTTCAAGGATTCCCTGGGTCAGACATATGCATAGTAATTCACCAAAGGGTGGCATGTGAGGTCTCCCCTGAAAGTTCACTGGTCATAATCATGGTGAAATGTATGTAAACATATTATATACAAAGTTATGTATTTATACTGAAATGTGTGTTCTTCAGGTATGTAAGTTAAGACAGGTCACTAGAAGGCAATAGACAAGTTCTGGTCAGGCAGGGGATAGTAGACATTTATCTCCCTAAGTGGTCATTGAATATTGCATATCTTACAATACAAGTCTGTTTGCATACGGAGCTACCAGCTAATCAAGATTTCAAAGTCTACAGGAAATCTCAAAATCTACAAGAGGGAACACAGCGAAGTGTGTCGTGTTTATGACTAAAATCAAAGAATTAGTCTGGTATATCAGGAGAATGCAAGGAAACACAAGGTATTATTCACAGAGTAGGCAAGCTGAGTGTGTGGCTTGTTTAATTGAAAAGGGATTACAGCCTACTGGCTGAAAAATGCTGGTGAGCAATACTAGCAGACATGATAGTAACTAGCTAAGTAAGTCATCTAGGTTCTAGAATGCATGTTATAATTTTATTTTACTTGTCACCATTTGTTTCTAATACCTCTGCTTGTGACCATTGAAATCTCTGCTCTTTATTTCATAAACTTTTACCTGTTGTCACTATTAACATACCTCTGTGCTGAATGTTAAGCAGAGTGTGATCTGAAGGGAAATGGGTAAGCTGGTGTTGGTAGCATCAGATCTGTGAATTCTGCAGGTGTCCAGTGGACCAGGGGCTGGTCACTCCAGAGTGACACACAGGGGTTAGAGTGTCTCTATCACTAAACGAGAGAGAGCAAGGCCTGCGTAGGCCTGGAGGGGAGTGCCTCCGTTGCCCATGGCTGCGGGGAGGGGTTGTGGAGCTCACTCTGAGCTGGCACAGACAAGGCTTCCTCATGCTAAGCAGAGGTGGTAGCGAGGGGCCTCACAACCCGGGCACCCTGGGAAGCGTCACACCTACTGATACATGTTTATCACAAACACAAAGGTTTAAGATAGAGTAAAGGCTGCAAGGAACTATGTTGCCTTCTGTAGCATCGGCCACTGCCGTATCTGGTCCCTTTTTAGCTACAGACATGAAAACAAATTGGCAAAAATGAAAATCAAAAGCACAGCAAAATCAGTCAGTCCAGCTCTTACCACAGTTCGATGGGGCCAGGCTGGGACTCTGGAATCTGTAAGTGCGGTAACTAGGGGCGCTGCCACACCCCCAGCTTGAAGTGGTTTCCATTATAAGGGTTTACAGTTTGGTTCAATGTCTCTCAGTACCCCCGCTATAAACATTGTTCCAGCCCCCCTGCTGGAATCAAAATGTTCTCTACAGTTGTTAACACTGGGATGTTTGCAGTCCGCCAGCACTGTGTGCTGAACAGTGTAATTTAATATTTGTAAGTCCCAACTTGCCAGTTTCTGAACTGAGACTTTTTTATCCCAGGGCACCTGCGGAACATGCACGTACTAAGCATGGAATGGCAAGGGAACAGCAATTCTACGTTTCATGTACTAACTATCAGACCGTTCAGCTGCATTAATGTATGGAGTCTGGGTATCACAGGAGTCCTAGGGCTGTGATGGCAACTTCCTGAAACTGTAGATACCACTGTTTAGTCTATGTGAGCATCATATGACTTTGGGCAAGTCAGTTCTCCTTCTCTCTGCCTCTGTTTCCCCTCCCACCCGTTGTGTGCCTTGTCTGTTTAGAACGAAAGCTATGAGGGCAAGTTACTGTGCATGTCTGTACGTCACCTGGCATAGAAAGGTTCCTATTTCAGACTGGATCTTTGAGTGCTATCATAGTACAAATAATGGCTAATATAAACAGCACAAATCTAGCCATATGTTAATGAGCATTACATCAATAATTGCGTTTGGACAGCAACATTAAATGAATATAAAACATTCACCAGATGAATTGTGACTTAGCTGGAAGCAGTTAAATTTTACAGTGAGATACAGCACAGAAAAAAATGGAAGAATTCAAACAAACCTCCCAAGATTTCTCAAGGGGCGAGATTATTAAAGGCACAAGTGATGGGTAGACAAATAACTCCTCCTATTGCAGGGGTTCTCAAACTGGGGGTTGGGACCCCTCAGGGGGTCACAAGGTTATTACATGGGGGGTCGCGAGCTGTCAGCCTCCACCCCAAACCCCGCTTTGCCTCCAGCATTTATAATGGTGTTAAATATATTAAAAAGTGTGTTTAATTTATTGGGGGAGTCACACTCCGAGGCTTGCCATGTGAAAGGGGTCACCAGTACAGAAGTTTGAGAACCACTGTCCTATTGCCTGTGCAAGGCATTTAGGCACCTAACTGCCATTTGTGCCTTAGTTCTATCAGTAAAATGATTCCGGAAAGATGACCTGAGGCCCATGTGTGTTTGTCCTGGACACCGAGGTGTAAAATCAACCCAACGTCTTTGCAACAAGATGTCTTGGAGTTAGGAGACAAGGGACAGTTGAGACCTCACAGTGAAAAGCTCCTTGTTTTTCCAAGTTCCATCATTCAAAAACGTTGCGTGACCTCAAACATTACAAATTACCATGAGACTCTGACTAAGCATGTGAGATTTGGGGCTCAAATGAAGCTTTTTTGAGAGTTGGAAAAGGGGTTGAAAGAGCACTTAGGACTTGATTCTCCTTTATCCTGCCCCTTTGTGCAGGCTTTTATACCAGTGCAAAGGGAGTGCAAAACACTACTGTTCTGATCTGATTGCATGTTGCACCACATTAAATGACTGCACGAGGGGCAGGGGAATTGGGTACCTAGAACTGAAAACGCTTTAATTACAAAGTAAGGACTATAGCTCCATAATACATATATTTGTAGGACAATGATCAGCCTGGGATCCATTTTATCTTCTTGTGTAAGCATGTCCACTGGGACGCCGCCAGTTCTGTGTGGAACAATTCTGTGAGTGCTTAGCAACTGCTTTCCAAAGTCAAGAGTGCTGTGATTTTCTTCCAGAAAGACGGTTCTGAGCTGTTGCTTTCCAAACCCTGCTTTTGTGACCAAGCTGGGTTTTTTCTTACCTGCATGAGGAGAGCAGCTTCAGGAACCAGGCATCTTGTATTTTTGCTCTTGCACAACTTAAAATTGACCAAGAGAGTTTTGAATAGAAAGAGTGAGCTGGTTGGCCAGCCGGGACCTTTTAATCTGTTTGAGCAGAGAAGTTATCAGGACCACGTTTGAAATGGAAGCAGTCCAAACGGCCAGGGCTAGAGGGCAAGTTGCCTGGGACGTGGTGTGAGCACTGCAGGTTATACATTAACCTCTGGATTGAACATTCCCAGTGGAATTGTGAATTCTCTATTCTAGATATTCCAGTGAGCAGGGTTCCACTTGGCCATGTTCTAATGCCATTGCAAGTCACCTCTGCCTCCCAGGCATCGTTTACAGCATGGACAAGGACAGGCTTCAAGATGAGCTGCACATTTTTAGAGGTAAGCCCTCTTCCTTCCCTTCCATCCAATAGCTGAGAAACGGGTCTCTAGACCAGATGAATGGGCAGTCACGGGATAAGAGGGAAGCTCTTCTCACGGATCAGTAGCCGGTTAAAAGATCGGAAACAAAAGGTAGGAATAAACGGTCAATTTTCAAAGTGGAAAGCAGTAAATAACGGGGTCCCCCAGGGATCTGTACTGGGGCCAGTGCTGTGCAACATATCCATAAATGCTCTGGAAAAGGAGGTAAACAGTGAGGTGGCAAAGTTAGCAGAGGATACAGAATTACTCAAGATAGGTCAAAAACTGGGAAGAGACACAAAGGGATCTCACAAAACTGGGTGACTGGGCAGGAAGATGGCAGATGAAATTCAGTGTTGAGAAGTGCAAAGTGTAATGCACGTTGCAAAACAGAATCCCAACTATCCATAAAAAATGATGAGGTCTAAATTAGCTCTTACTATTCAGGAATGAGATCTTGGAGTCACTGTGGGGAGTTCTCTGAAAACATCTGCTCAATGTACTGCAGCAGTCAAAAAAGATAACAGGATGTTAGGAACCATTAGCAAAGGGATATACACCTCTACCTCGATATAACGCTGTCCTCGGGAGCCAAAAAATCTTAGCGCGTTATAAGTGAAACCGCGTTATATCGAACTTGCTTTGATCCACCGGAGTGCACAGCCCCACCCCCCCGGAGCACCGCTTTACCCCCCGCAGCACTGCTTTATATCCTAATTTGTCTTATATCGGGTCGCGTTATATCGGGGTAGAGGTGTATAATAGGGCAGAAAATATCATAATGCCACTCTATAAATCCATAGTATGTCCAGACCTTGAATACTGCATGCAGTTCTGGTTGCCCCATCTCAAAAAGGATATATTAGAATTCTTAAAAGTACAGAGAAGAGCAACAAAAATGATTAGGAATATGGAACAGCTTTCATAAGAAAACAGCTTAAAAAGAGTGGGACTGTTCAGCTTAGAAAATAAATGACTAATAGGGGGATATGATAGAGGTCTATCCAGTCATGAATGGTGTGAAGAAAATGAGAAAGTGTTATTTATCCCTTCATGTAACACAAGAACTAGGGCTCACCCAATGAAATTAACAGGCAGCAGGTTTAAAACAAACATAAGGAAGTACTGCTTCATACAACACACAGTCAACTGTGGAATTCATTGTCAGGGGGTGTTGTGAAGGCCAAATGTATAACTGGGTTAAAAAAGAATTAGATAAGTTCATGGAGGATAGGTCCATCAGTGGCTATTAGGCAAGATGGCCAGGGGACAACCCCAGTGTTCTGGGTGTCCCTAAACCTCTGACTGCCAGAAGCTGGGGCTGGACAATGGGATGGGTCACTTGATAATTGTCCTGTTCTGTTCACTCCTTCTGAAGCACCTGGCACTGGCTGCCATCGGAAGGCAGGACACTGGGCTAGCTGGATCATTGGTCTGACTCAACGTGGCCATTCTTAGGAGTCTGCTCTCTCTGCTGCTGCTGAACGGATGCAGCAGAGAAGTCTTTCCTTACCCTGACCTGCGAGAAGGGAGATGAGCATCTCTGGCCAATTCAGTCTTTGGCCTCTCTGCTCTGACAGGCAGGCTAATTAGTGTTAATTGTGCTGGGCTGTTTGGGACGAGGATGCTGGCCCTGCTGGGAGCTGTATTTTATGCTTTTCAATGAAAGGGAAATAGTTTGTTGGCAGGTGAGAGAAGGAAGTGGCCTTTCTCCCACTGTAGAGATGTTATTGCTTTGAATTAAGACTCCTGGGCCCTGGTATTGTGAAAGGTCTGCGAGTGTCCGACTCGAGACACCTCAGAGGGGCTGAGTTGTTTAGCGGGGCTGGGTTGTTTAGGCACTCAGCATTGTCTGAAAACCGGAGTCCCCCTTAAGTTGTCTTAAACCGGACACGACAACCAGAATGTGCAGCCACTCTCCAAAGGCTGAGTCACAGGCCTAATTTCCCTGGGATGAAATTGGAATGTTTGTTAAACATCACTTAATGATGGGGGGAAAATAATCCTCTAGAGGGCACGTGTGAAACAAAACTGTAACCCTAGATACTTGGTCACAGTCTGAATGGAAGCTTAAACCCTTCCATTGTTTGTGATTATTACCAGCCATTATAAGCACATTACAGTCATGAGAGGAGTGTCTTGTGGATGGTGAGAAGCTTGTAAGCTCTTTGGGGCAGGGCCCGTCTCTGTTCTGGGTTTGTACGGTGCCCAGCACACTGGGGTCCTGATCCAGGATCGGGGCTCCCAGACACTACCGCAGTGAGGCTAAGAAGAAAAACCTGATAGATAGCTGTAAGTTGTAGTTATAAACGCCCTATCGACCCCTATACCAAGCAATTAACCATCTAATTTAGGGTTAATCATTTATTAACCCTTTATAAATGGGACCTTCCTGCAAAGCCGCTGCCAAACCTGTCAATCTGTGACCCTTCGCAATCTTTCTTCTGTTCTAAAGACAGGAACTACCTCCGGCAGAAGCTGAGATCCTCCCGCACAGTCTACTTGCTGCTGGCGCTTTCTTACCTGCTGATCCTCATCCTGTTTGCGGTGTCGCTCTCCAGAGGTACCGTGTGTGGGGCCTTCGGGAGATGAAACGTTTCCCGTCATTAATGAGGAAGGAAGTTGGGGGGACTCAGAGAGACCCCGGGGGTCAGTGTGCTCAGAAGCCCTGGGGTCAAACCCTGATACTGTCTCCTTCTGGGTCCTTGTTCTTCTTTGTCTTGCCAGCGGCAGAGAGCTCATCCAAGAGCCCCACTGCGCTGGGTGCTGCGCGGACTCACGGAGCCAGCCCCTGCCTGGCAGAGCTCGCAGTTAAACTGACACAGGGTGGGAGGGGAAGCAGCTGCCCAGGCCCCCCCAGCAGGCCAGGGGTAGAGCAGGGAATAGAATCCAGTCTCCTGAGTGCCATCCGTGTCCCCTGCCTGTCCACCTTGGGAGCAGGGCCCTCGCCCTCTCGGTGTGTCCCTTTCTCTCCAGCTGCAAAGCGGGGGTGGTATTGTATGTTGCCCTCTACCTGGCGAGGGAGGCAGGTGAAGGTGAAGGTGTGACGCTGTAGCATTGTTACAGAATGTGCTCTATTGATTATCTTCATCAATCAGGTAAATGAAAGCCTTGCTCAAAGGGAGCCTGCTGGGCTGAGAGGGGGCGGAGGGTGATAAATTAGGTCAAACTTGTTCAACCCTTCCACTGCCTCACACTGAGGTCTTGTTGCTGGTGCTGGGGATGTTCTGCCGGACGTAGCTGGCAGCTTGAGCACTAGCAAGAGGGTTACTTCGTCAGCACTCACCAGCCCAAAAGGGAGCCACGTCCTAGCCTCCTTGAGGCCATAACCCCAGGGCCAGGCGGATCCTCAGAGCTTCATGTCAGGACTTTTCTGTGCTTGGATTTTTGCACTGATGTTATGCAAATCTCTAGTCACCTTTCACGCCAGCACCGCTACGACAGCATAGCTACCCTAGTGCACCAACGCTTACTCTGGGGGACAAACCCTTGGAAACACCCACCACAGCCTTTGCAAAGCCGCCCGCCCCTTTCTCCCCTGGTACCTTTGGTTCAGGTCACGGTTGCTTGGAATTTCTGGTGCCCAGTGGGGATTGTCTAGTGGCAGTTTTTTCCTTTGTGTATCCCAAGGTGTTTTTGTTTCCCACCAAACCTGTTAAATCCTGCTTCCTATTCCAGGCTGAACCAGGTTGTAAACCCGGGAGAATTAGTGCATTAAGGTGCCCAGATCACCTTGCCCTGTGATTGGCTGTAAGGGCATGGTTTTGGCTTTCCCCATGGATTAAATAAGCCTTTTTGGAAGGCGTTTCTAGCACACACAAGTGCTGGTGAGCTCACTGGGTAAAGGGTGTTGAAACCCAAAGATGACTCAATGCCTCTCAGACATAACAGGGTGGCAGCAGGGTCAGATAACCTGGCATGTGTGTTCTCTCTCTCTCTCTCTCTCTCTCTCCCTCCCTCCCCCCACCCCCCGATTTTAGTTTCAATGCTCTCTTCACAACTTAATGAAATGCGCAATGAAGTGAAACGGAATCATTCCAGCAACGATTTCAAACGTAAGTACAGGGCATTGCCCTATGCCCCTCCCGGCTCCTGCTGCCTCTGCTGTGCCCTCCCCATTATACGAGCCTCTTCCTTCCCAGTTCCTCTTCCCTCCCCTGCCCTCTGCTCTGCCCACCTCCCTGGGTTGCCCTCGCTCCTTCTGGCCACAGCTGCTGCTCCCTGCTGTGATCATTACGTTGCAGGGTATCTGTTCAGTCTCTAGCACCAGGGATCCTAGCAGCAATTTGGGGGCATTACCTCTTCTGATTTTCCTTGGCTCACTTCATGCTGCACACAGGGGATCCCGGCTTCTGAACTCTTTATTTGCTTTGGAGCCTGGGCCACAGCTTTCTTCTATTTGTTAGACAGAAGCAAACCCCTGTAGTATTGTGACTGGACAGTTCCAGCAATAACCGCTGCCTTGGAAGTCAGGTCCTTGCAGAGCTGGGGTTGTGCTGTCATTTCTACACAGGACAGGATATACCTGCCCCACTTGGTGTCTCTGACTGCTGGTCCCTCCCTTTCCCAGTGTTCCCGTGCGGACCTGATGCCCGGGAATGGGAATACTTCAGTGGGAAATGTTACTTCTTCTCCTTGCGTGAGACATCTTGGCAGAGGGCGAAGGTGCTGTGTGAGGAGGAGCATTCACGCCTGGCCATCATTAACAGCCACAGCAAGCAGGTAAAGACGAGAGAGTCTGGATGGAAAACCTCTGAGCTTCTTTCTCATGGCTTGCCTTCTCTCAAGGGCTCTTTGTCATTCCCGCGTTCTTAGCACCCACAGGAACTAGCTGCTTCCCCCAGCTACCTCTACGTCACCCTTCTGTGGGTTCCCAATGCTACACGTGTAACGACTCTCTGTTGTGGGTGGCCGGTGGGAATTGAACATGGCAGCACCACCTCTGAAAGGACAGGCTTCTACCAGTTGAGCTGAAGGAGCAACTCCATTAGCAGTCCTAGGCTTTTGTGCTCTTTGTGCCAGCCACATAAAGGGGATGTGAGGCCCTGGCCCTGTGTGGTACATGCTCTGTTATGGGTCCCTGGATGTATGTAGTGACAGAGCCCTGTGAGGTGTGTTACACATCGAATAGACACGGCTCCACCAGCCCCGCTTCTGCTGTGATGCAAATGAAGAGTAAAATGGTGCTGATCCTGGTAAAGGAGATGACTCTGTGCTTCCTCCCCCACCCCACTTCCGGCCGCAGAATTTTATCATGTACAGGACACGCAACCAGCGCTTCTGGATCGGCCTCTCAGACCAGAACTCAGAAGGGGAGTGGAAATGGATCGACGGGAGCGACTCCACAACTGGTTTCACGTGAGTGCGGGGCCGACCCCTGCTGGCTATCGCTCTCCCTCTTCCTCAATGCCGCAGGCCTCCTGCTGCAGAAACAGCCTCTGTGTCTGTGGAGAGAGCCCGAAGGCATGGGGCTGGGCCACAGCGGGGTAAGATCAGGTCATGGGAAGCCGCATGGGGCGTTGATGTCCAACTTTCCATGGTGTGTAAGGCTGATGGTTTTCACCAGCAATGGGCCTACGCTTCAGTTTCTGAGCCGAGCATCCCCCTAACTCCAGGACACGCTGGCTTCAAATCCCCATTATGTGCAGCTCAGGACCACCTCCAGCTTTGACCCCGCTCTGTCCCCTGCACCCCGTTCCTGCCCCTCCAACTGTAGCCCCGCTGTGTTTAGGTACTGGAAGGAAGGGGAGCCCAACAACAGCGACCAGAATGAGGACTGTGCGCACGTCTGGACCTACGGGGAGTGGAACGACGTGCATTGCACATACGAGTGCTACTACATCTGTGAAAAGCCTGCCCCTCCGTGAGCAGACCGGACCAAAGCCACCTCCCAGCCACACTGCCTGGACCTGCAGGTCAGTGCAGAGAGCCAGCGCTGCCTCCTGGTGGTGACAGAGTTGCAAGCCAAGGTCCAGTACTTTGAGGCTGTCAACATCATACTAATCTTTTTACTTTTCCCCCCACTCTTCTGTTCTTAATTTATATTCCCTTTATCTGTGTGTCCATTTCCGGTCAGTTCCTCCATGGGTCTCTCTCAGCCATTGGGTCCGTATCCTGGGGAGGACCCAGAATGGACCTCCGATGCTAAAAGTCTGCACCTCTACAGTGTGAGCCTAGGGCTGATAAAAAAAAATGTTTTCAAACAAAGACATTGTTGAAAAGTTGCCTTCTTGAAACCAAATTTTAAAAATGAGTTTTCAAAATGGTCTGGGGTTTTTACTCCCCATCTCCATGCCACTAAATGAAAAAAAGAGGGGGAAAGGGTGAAAATGGGAAAAATTTGAAACCAAAAATTTTGGGTAAAAAAAATTTTTTTTTAAATGAAAAGTTGTGAAGTTTTCAAAAATAACCAAATTTTCAAAATCCATTCCAACCCCCCCCACCCCCAAATTGCATCTGTTTTCATTTTTCAATCAACTCTGGCTGTAACAGACTCGTGTCCTCTGTGGGTTGGGCACCTCGGTAACATCCGCAAACTTGTGGGTCACGCGTGGATGCACTTGGAAAGTTACAGGAAAACAATGTGCAGTGTCTGCTGAAAACCACAAGAGGCCGCAGTGTGATCTGAGCCCTCCCTCTTTTTAGCAGGTGGCATAATGAGAGCACAGGGCAAAGTTTGATGCAATCAGGGGGCAAGTAGCCAATTTAGGATCGATAAGAGCAAACACAGATTTATCCAATGTGTGATTCCCTGCCCTCAGGGAGTCAGGCACAGTCCCTAGGAACAGGGTGTGCCCGTTAATAGCATTTATAGCCATCTCTGCAAGCTCTGATCGTGGAGTTAGAGGAATCATAGTGGGGATTAGGAAGAAATTCTTTCCCTCTGTAGCGCTAGTTATATTGGCAAAGGGGAGGGGAGGTTTTTCCTCTGAAGCAATGAGCCGTGGCCACTAACGGAATAGATGGACCCTTGGTATGAGATGGGGGTGATCCCAGACTAGCTGGGGCAGTGGCCCTCTCGGATGTGAATCCTCTAATGCTCCTATATAAATTCGGAGTTAATGGCCGCCTCTGCAGCTCTGTTAGCTTCTGTGGATTTGTTAACTCCACAGCTCCATAGGTGCTGGGACGAGGGGTGCTCCCACACCGCTTACCGCGGTTTCCATTATATGCAGGTTGGCAGTTTGGTTCAATGGCTCTAAGCACCCCACAATACACATTGTTCCAGCCCCCCTGCACAACTCTGAGGTCTCTTCCCCCACCCTCCAAACCCTGGTGCTGTTTCCCCTATGAATTCTCTCTCTGTGGCATGTGACTCTCATATTCCCTACATGGGGAAAGCTCCTGGGGTCAGATAATTCTGGTGGTCGGAAAAGTCTCCTGCGAGGGACGGTGACAGATACATCTCTCTGAATCAGACATGGTTTGGTTCAGCTGCAGCTGGTCTGGAAATTAGTTCCCTGTGAAAAACTTCATTTTTGTCAACATTTGTTTTTGAAAAATATGGGGGAAGTTATTGAAACCACCCTCCCCCCCCCAATAATTGTTTTTCAGCCAACAAAAACCAAACACTTTCCATTTATAACCAAACGATTTTACCTGCACATCCCTCCCCCGCAAAAAATATTGAAAAAGATATCTTGGAAGATAATGTCCATTTTGTCAAAAAAGACATTTTCCATCCAAAAATAAAACTCTTGATGGAAAATTTACAGCCAGCTGTAGTTACAACCTGTATGCACCAGATGGTGCCCTTCAGCCCACAGCAGAGCGCTCTAAATGGAAAGTGGCACTCAGCATAAAGCCAGCTTCCTTTGCTCTCTCCTGCGCTTTCTGTCCTTTCTTCATTGTACACTAACAAAAGAAATTGAACAGGCTGCAAATCGCGGGCCTAACAGTAAAACTATTTGGCTGGGGGGCTGTGGCTGCCCTGCCACCCTTGAGCACTGTGGTGATAATAAATAATTAATACTACCTAGCTCCTCTCATCAATCAGTCTAGGTGACTCGTTAGTCCCATTTTACAGACCTGCATTGTACATCCCCTTAGTTCTCAGCACTCTCAGCAGCTTACATGGGGTTATTACGTTCCTAATAAAAACAGCCGAGTTGGAAGTGAAATGGGTGATGTTGAATTCGGAGCCCCTGGCGCTCTGAGCACCCACCAGTCCCATTGACCTTGCAGATCAGACATCCCCTGTCTGGATTAGGACGACGCACATGAGGTAAGAGTGACGCTAACACGGTTTATTAGGGGTGTTACGGGAGCCCCACGCATGGAACAGGACTCCTGTGTGCTGGGCGCTGTACAAAAGATTCTTGTATACAAAACTAATTAATAACCTCTGATGTACAAAGCCTGTTTTCCTGGTGAAGGTCTGGGGCTGGATTCTCCAGTCATGTACCCTGGCATAAATCAGGGCCTGCCCCTTACAGCAGCACCTCGAGACCCATTGTGCTAGGTGCGGTACAAGCACAGAGTGAGAGAGAGCCTTAGAGGCAGGCTGGGGTGGTGTCCCGCTCTTCTGTGTACCATGGTAGCAGGGCCCCATCGCGCTGCGCCTGACACAGTCCCTGCTCTGCAGAGCTTGAAGTCTAAAGAGGCGAGACAGAAACCAAGGCCCAGAGAGAGGATGCAACGTCACGCAGAAGGTCAGAGGCAGCGCTGGGAACTGAACCCAGGTGTCCTGGCTCTGCCCAGTGCCCCAGTTGTGAAGGCTCAAGTGCCAGCGCGAAGGATTTGAGTCGGATCCTTCTCCTGGAGTAAGAATATCTTGCAGACAAGTCTGTCACCTTTGTTCCAGTTGGAGTTTGAGGGTAAAAGCGACCAGTGGGCTGTGCCTTGCCATGCCCCGACCCTGAGAGCACGGAGAACCACCCCATCAAAGGGATGTTTAGCATACACAATAGCTGGGATGGATATGAAGGTGACAGCCACTTTCTACATCCCTTAGTTTGGTTAGGGTTGGGGAGGATGCACACTTGGGGGGCTCTGTGCACATGTTAAATAGCCAGGCAGCTGCTCTACCCCATGGGGCCGATACGCTCTTCCTCTGCGTTTCATTGGTGGACAGCGTTGGCCAGAGAGTTATACGGGTGAGTCCCCCGAAGGCTGGGGATTGGGAGTGGTTGGCAGGTGCCATTGGCGGAGTCACCAAGCAGAACAGTGCATTGCCCTGCCTGTACGCAGGTGGGGCCTCGCTGTGAGGTCTCCACCCCCTAATGTGCTGTGGCCTTCAGAGGGTCAGTCTGTCTCTTCAAGGTGGAGTGAGGCCGTCTGGGAAGCCGGGGCCCGTTGTTACTCTGGCAGGGGCTAGCGTGAGTAGGTGGGACTGGCTGGAGAATGCTGAGGTTTCCCCACACACTTCATCACTCACAGAGCGGAGAGGGTCCTGCTCAGCGAGGGGCAGTGGGCTGCGCTTCCCCAGAATCTCCTCCGGCAGCAGGGCCTTCCACGGTGCCGCCATTACATGAGATGGATCACATGTTAGAAACCTCAGCTCCTTCATCTGTAGCGGCTGCCTGGGGAAAGATTTTGCCAAGAAGCTGCTGCACTCCAAGGCCTGGCAACAGCATGCATTGCAACTGCCAGGGGACGCGTACTGGAAAAGGCCACGGCTGGAACGGCGAGCTCTAGCCAGGGGGACTAGAAAAGTACCTGGGGGCTAGAGCGGGCCAGAGAATGGGCAGGATCAGCTGTGACAAGTTAAAAAAGAAACTGCAAATTTCACCCAAACCTTTTGAGAAAATTTTCAACACAACAAAACTCAAAACAATTCCGGTTTGGGTCCTCCTCCACCCTGCCTCCCTTCTTCCCCATTCAAAACAGGAGGGAGAGAATGAAAACAAACAAACACACACACACGTTTGCTGCCAAAATATCTAAACTTTTAGTTAAACCAAACATATTTGTTTTTAGATTTAATTTAAAAATGGGGTGAAGATGTCTGATGAGGGCAGCAGAGGCCTCGCAGCGCCAGCCGTGGCTGAGCACAGGTCGGGGGCGGGGGGAGGCAGGAAATGGTGGGCTGGGGTCGCTGCTACACCCTGGCCAATGCTGCCCAGGCCGGGGGGGGGACACACGACCTAAGGGACATTTCAGGGCCTTGGTCCCAGGGGTGGAGAGCCCCTAGCGAGAGTCACACACCTGCTGCACATGGGCAACCTCAGGCCCCCCAGCTCCCTCTGCTGGCCAGGTGCAGGCGCTCTCCCAGCCCGGCCTGCACAGCAGGCTGGGGCAGAGACCCAGGGCTGTGTGGTTACTTCTCTACCAGAAATAAGGGCTCCAGTAAGGGGGCCCTGTGCACCCTGGCGCATCTGACACCCTCCCCCAGGCCAGTTTCAGCCCCGCTCCCACCTACCTGCTCCCCTGAGCGGGTCCCAGGGCCCCCAGTTATATCCCAGGTAAAACCCCAATCCATGAAACAGAGAAAAGGGTCTCTGGGGAGTGTGTGTGGGAATCTGAGGGGTCAGGATGGGGCAAGGTCCAGGGGGCATAAAGAGGGGTCCCAGGGAGCAGGGTGGGGGTGGTTCTGGGCTTTCTCACTGTTGAGAATTTTCTTCAGTTTTTTGTGTGTGAAAATGTTGGCAAGAAAAACCCTAGAGCCTCCCAGCCACTTCTCTGCACACCCCCCTTCATCCCCCCACCCCCAACCGCTAGGGGATAAAAGCAGGTGGGGGTGCAGGGGGGTGGAGGGTGCGAGGGGATAAAAGCAGGTGGGGGTGGGGGG